GCCCGGGGGCACGGACAGACCCCTGGCAGCTCCGGTGGTCCAAGAGCAGCTTGTGCTGAGCTCCCCGGCTGGCTTTGGCCAAGGACGGATGCGCGGAGAGCCCCGCCAGGGATGGGGATGTGGTTGTCTGCTGGCGGCAGGAGCGGTTTTCGGGAGGGTTTGTGGGCCCGGCAGTCTCGGCGCGCCCAAAGAGGAAGGGTGACCTCGTGGGGCTGCGACAGTGGAACGCGAGAGCGGGCAGGGATCGAGCCTTTCCTGCAGCCGTTCTCAGCGCCGAGCTGCGACCGGGATCGTCCGTGGGTTTGGGGTTGGTCCTGCCCCGCACTGGGTGCCCACGGGAACAGGCTGAAGCAGGGATGCCCAAGGGTGAGGCCGGCTCTGGAGGATGCAGGGAGAAGAGATGGGAAGGACAGCGTCACTTGCCGGCTGGGCTGAAATGTGGGGATCACCTGCTTATTTTGCCTGCAAAGGCTGAAATAATGGGGGCCCCTGATGTTAATGAAGGGAAATGATGGCTGTTCTTTGGCTTGGTGGTGTGGCTGGAGGGTGAGGATGCCCCAGTTGGCCCGGGGGCAGCTGGGCTGCAACTGCGGCCACCTGAAGGGACGAGGGCAGCTCTGGGAGCGCAGCGGAGGGTTTGTCTCAGACCCAACGCTAACAGCGGCCTGCCCCGGTGTGTAGGGCATGAGAGAGCAAATGAAGGGGAGGAAATTGCCGGCTTCCAGCTTCTGACCAGTAACCTCCATCGATCAGCGTCTAATAGAAACACAATGGCTCTTTCCAATGGGAAATCGGTAGCTGCTTCCTCTCGCATCACAAGATGCAACATAAGGGCTGGCCGTTTTTTTTTTTTTTTTCTCTTAATCATAGATGCTTGGAAATACCTCGCAAGGAAGTTCCTCGTTGTAGAGCAGTGCAATGGGGTGCAAACAGCACTGGGGAGGGCGGCAGGGGCTCTGTGTCGCGCCGTGGGAGGGGATGCAAAACAAGGGGCACCACCGTTAAGCAATTTCCCGTCAGCAGGGCCTGTCCGCACCACGCAGCCGGCCGCGTCTGAACGAAGCGTCACGCTCTTGTCACACTCGCTGTGGTGAAACGAGGGAGATTTGACATCCTTGGTCAGCCCCAGGCAGGGAGGTGACGTTCTGCTCTTGTCCCTCAGACGTCGGCAGGGTGATGCCAGCTTGATCCAGAGCCATGTCCAGGTACCTGAGTGATGGGCGACGACCCCGTGCAGTGGAGCAACTACTATCAGAAATGGGAGGAGGAGGAGGAGGAGACTGGGGAGAATGGGGAGAAGCAGCCAGATTCAGAGATCAAGCTGGAGCCCACCAGGAACCACGTCTCCTTCCAGGACATGATGAAAAAGCTCTTCAGCTCCCACAGGTTTCAGGTGAGGCCGAACAAACCCAGGCCAAAGGGAGAAGAGGGTGAGATTTGGCCAAAGGCACCTGTGACAGCAGAGCCGATGTGGGACGGAGCTCAGGGCGGGCTGGGAGCAGCACCGAGCTTCTGAGCACTCACGGTGCCCATGAGAGCAGCTGCTGCCTCCGAGCTGAGCCATCCTGTCGGAAACGAGCCGCTCCGCAGCGGGCGCAGATGTTTCCTGAGCGGCGACAAGCCTCGGTGCACGCTTATCACGGTGCCGGCAGAGGCACGTGCTTTCCCCCAGCTCGAGCTTCCCGAGACCCCGCGCACCCACACCAAGCAGTGGGAAGTGGCTGGGTTTGGTGGGGAACCAGGCGGTTTCGTGTGGGCGAGACTTTGCAGGAATAACCCACTGACTGTGGGAGTGGGAGTCCTGGGTGGGAGCAACAGAAAGCTCTACAAAATACAACCAGCCAAATTGGGGCGTTGGGGCATGTTTAGCTGAAGGCTGTGTTGGCTCCTGTTGCTGATCTGTCCGTGCTGGGAGGGGGTTCATGTTGGTTCTTCTCCTCCGACAGATCGTGGTTGTCTGCTTGGTCATCCTGGATGCCTTGTTGGTTCTTGGGGAATTGCTTATGGACTTGAAAATCATCCATCCGGACAAATATAATATAACCCCAAAGGTAAAGTGCAGTGAAATGTCAACATGAACCGTGATTTCTCTCTCTCTGGTGGTTCAGAGCCCGCTAAATAGGATGAATGGGCAGGGCAGGACCTGGACCTTCAGCCTTGTCGAGCCGGCAGCCGCAGGCACACAGACGAAGGGCTTGCAGGGAGCGCTTTTGCGGGCCGCCAGCCGCAGGCACACAGACGAAGGTCTTGCAGGGACTCGTCTGACAGCCCTGCGGTGTGCGGGGCTGACCTGGCTCAGCTCACGCCAGTCTGGGCAGCAGCCTTGTGTTTCCTCGGGCTGCAGCAAAGCTGAATCGCTCTCACAACCCTTTTCCCAATTGTCTTCGCACCTCCTGGTCTGGCTGACCCAAGGCCACTGGCTGCCACATGCTCGCTCTGGTTGTCCCTTAGAGCAGAAGAAAAGTCCCCAGCCCTTCTCCTTGTAGAGCCAAATCAGACGTACCCTCGAGCAGTGGAGGTTTTCCAGCCTGCCCTGCTTGTGGGCACACCGGAGGGTTTCCTGACCCTGAACTTGTGCTGTCTTTCCCCAGGTTTTCCACTACCTCTCCCTTTCCATTTTAACTATCTTCCTGGTTGAGGTGGGGTTTAAAGTCTTCATCTACCGCCGGGAGTTCTTCCACCACAAGTTCGAAGTGCTGGACGGGATCATCGTCATTGTGTCGTTCATCCTCGATGTCGTCCTCATCTTCCGGGAGCACGAGTTTGAAGCTGTCGGGCTCCTGATACTGCTGCGGCTGTGGCGAGTGGCCAGGATCATCAACGGTAGGTGTGCGCAGCTGGCCGGGAGCTTTCCCTGGTGCGTGGGCTGGATTTGCCGACCTCGCCTGAATTATCTGGGTTCACGTCTTTGTTTCCTTCTCAAAGCCACTTGTAAGACCCCGGGGTCTTGCTCTCCCAGCGAACTCAAGAGTTTCACGTGTGTAGTTTTAGTTGCTGGCGTGTGGCCTTAAGTAGCGTAATTTCTTTGGAGCAGCAATAATCTGCTGCTTGTGTTGGGTGTGATGCCTCGGTGCTGGGGGAGTGGCAGCTGGCCCGGGGTAGCAGAGATGCCCAGCTTTAGGCAGCATCAGGCACGTTCCCCTAAAAACAACCCGTAATCTGTTCTTGCATCCCTCCCTCCTGGAGAGAGATGGCTCACCTCTTTGGCTTGCGTCGTATGATCCTTTTGGCAATGTTTTAACAGAGGAGCAGGGTAAAAACCTGCCTTCCTGAATCTATTTCCATAGCAGAGTAGGTTTCACTGCTCTGATGTTCTGCTGTGACTCTGTCATCCATGCCAGGGATGCTGCAGGGAACGTCCTGATCTCACTCTGGATTTTTCTTGCTTGGATTCAAAGGGTTTGCCATTAAAAAAAAAAAAAAAGGGATAGAAACTGTCCCTAAATCACACTTTACTGACTCTGCTGTTGTAAGTTGTTGCAAACAGATGTAAACTCAGACACTTCTGAAACAAGTGTAGCTGGAAACATTTTCTTCCTTCTTGGGGAAGGAATTTTGGGATTCGGTAAAATGTGGCAGTGAGATTAATTGCCAATTCCTGCATGAAACTTCAGCCCAAGTGCTGTCCTGTGCCTACGAGTGCACTTTTGGTGAGTGCTCTGTACTTGATGTGGCTCTAAGTCTTGTTAGTTGGAATAAAAGGAAAGGATGGCTGGGGCCGTGTCCGTTGCCTGCAGCCCCCAGCTGCCGTCTTGACGGGGAGAACATGCCCGACTGGCGGCAGTGGCTGGGAAGAGGGAAGGTGTGAGAGCAGCTTGTGGCTCTTTTTAGTTCAGAGTGAAAGTCAGAGAGAAACTGGATTTGTGTGCAGCTGCCTGAGCCACAGGAACCTCGGTGACTCTTAACACGCCATTTTACAGCAGAAAAACAGTATTGCATTTACAAGTAAATCCCCTTATCCTTGCGTGCTCCTGGTTTTCCCTCCCAAGCTTTTCACCATGCCTGCCTGCTTGGAGCAACAGAGGGCACAAAGAAAATCTGCCCCAAGATTCGGGTGTTGCGTGTCTAAGCCTCGGCATGGTTCGCTGCCTTCAGTCACTGTTGATTGATAGGGACCGGGTTACAGGCAGCTGGGGAGTGTTTGATGTTATCAATGCAAATAAGCAGCATCGCTGCTTTGTCTTCAGAGAAATGAACCCCCAAACCCCCAGCCTGCTGCCCGTAGCACTAGAAACACGGGCACGCATCGGTGCCTGCCTTCGTGCACGTGGCTCTGTCAGCAGCCAGAGGAGAGCTCTGTTGGGTGGGAAGAACGTGATGTTCTTGATGCTCTTGCCAAGCTATTTTTTATATCTTTCTTTTTTTTTTTTGAAACCCTTCAGGAAAGGGTGGGAAGAAAATGCCTTTACTGTGGGGGCTGAGCTTACAGGTAATAACCTAACAGTATTTCAGTAGAGGAGCGACACCTCCGCTGTAATGAGAAACTACGTGCCCTTACCACGGCAGCGCAAGGCAAAGCCAAAACCTTAAGGACCTCATGATGTGCCATGTCCCCTTCCACCGGGCCGGAGTGATTGGCCCCGGGGGCAGACGAGCCTTGTGCCCCAGGCTGGGCTGGGCTGTTGGAGCAAGGCTCCCGACTACATGAAACCGGCTAAAACGCAGCCCCTCCTGACAACAAAGCTGCCAGTTTTGTCCCCCGGCTCTGCCAAGGGAGTGAATTCAAATTCAGGATTTGAATGACAGTCTGACTGATTAATTCAGCTCAGAGGCCAGACTGCCTCTTCCCAGCAGAGCATTGGTATCTGAATCCCTGGGGTGGCTAATTTAAAACCCTCCTCATTAAGAAAAGCACTTGGGAGGGGTGGTTTGAAGATGACAGAACCAGAGCTGGAGAGGAACACGTTTAACTCCTTGAGCACAGACACTGTGTACTGTTAACCTCCGGCTTGTCACTGTTTTACATTGTAAAATGAATCTACTGTGAATTGTTTCACAGGAATAATTTTATCGGTCAAGACCCGCTCTGAACAACAAGTGTGCAAGCTAAAGCAAGTAAACCTGAAACTTGCAGCAAAGGTTGAACAACTGGAACTCAGCTGTGTAGAGAAGGTAAGAAAACTCTTTTAATTTAAACAAGGTTTACCTGCTGGTTGCTCCCCAGGACAAGCTGGCCTGGGATCCTTTTGCAAGGTTGCCACTGTCAGCTTGGTTTCCTCATCAGAAATTTGTGGGCTAAACTGGGCTGAAGAACCACAGCCCTGCCCGTGCTGCCCTTTGCTTCTCTTGGAAAGAGATGGATGACGGCTGCCTCTGTCCTACTTACTTTAGCCAGGCTGTCCTGTTTTACTGCAGCACGAGATACATTACCGCAGTGGGAAGATCTGTGGGAACCTGGGAAACTATCTTAAGGTAAGAGCCGAATCAATGATTTGACTTTTGTCTCCTACAGGAGCAAGAAATTGAGAGGCTTAACAAGATATTAAAACAGCATGGACTCATCAGCGAGCAAAAATAGGAGGCCAGTTTTCTGAGGTGGGAAGTCTGCCCTGGAGAGCGCAGTGTTGAAATCTACCAGTTTGACCTGAAAGGTTTTCCTGTCTCTTGGCTTTCTCTTGTATAGTGTTGTCTGTAAACATTTTTCTATTTGACCACATGTTGATTAGATCTTGGGATTGCAAAAAGAGGTTTGCTGGAAAATTAATCACGCGTACTCCCTGTAAACAGTGATTTCATTAAGACCTTTCTTGTACAGTTGTACAGTCAAAACTGCAAAATAATTTAATAAAGACGCATCTTTACAAGCTAGACATCCACTAAAGTACCACTGATTTTAAATAATTTCATTTTTCTGTGATAATGTTCTTTGTTTGCAACATCTTGTAGAAACTTGCAGGACAAATTATAAGAACCCAGGCTGAAAAGGTCACTTATCTACAAGCTTGACTGTTCACCGTTAGTACATCTCTTCTTTGCCAACCATTCTTTTCACCTTGTTGATAGTTTCCTCATTTCTGTTGCTGCTTGTGCCACTTTGTTATTTATATAACGTTCATTTCAAAAATACCAACATACCACTCCTTTAGTTGACAATCAAATCAGCACCAAAATAGAGGCAAACATGTGCCATCTTACGTCAAACAATGCCTTGTTCTCAACAGCAGATTTGAATTCTGATACTGCATTCTCTCATCTCTTCTTCCATTTTAAGTCTTTGTTTGCAGCCCGCTGGGCTACAACGTTCTTTGTTTCCACAGCTCATAAATCAACACATTAAAAGAATTAGAATATGTAAGAACAGATGTAGGTGAGTGGACTGCTGGGAACAGTTAGATTCCAGAAAAGCCATCGGAAAGCATATTCTAAAGGACCAGGCTAGTGTTTGAACACAATGTGAACTTTTTCAGGTACTAGAAGGTCCCTGTGGAGAGACTGTTTCATAGTTGAAGAGTAAAATTGAGTAAGTGGGAATTTTGAAAGGTGTTGACTGTAGCAGGCGTCTCCAATTGGTTTCAGCCAGAATCAGCTGGAAGGGTCATTGAGTTTTTCTGAAAGCATAATTTAACTGTTCGGATTTTTAGAGAAAGGTAATTAATTAGTGGTTTGGGAAAAATAGCTAGAAATATGTGGCTTATTCATCTTTGAAAACAGATAAAGCAGAGGCCTTATCTAATAGCACGATTACTTTAATTAACAATTTCACTCTGCTGTTCACAGAATAATGAAGCCTGCTTTCCTTTGGAGCCGTACTGTGTCTCGGTGCTCTTCCCTTCCCCTCCTGCCTCCACACTGCTAGGCAGGCAGCTCGGACTAGCGCTGCTTCAGAGCATCCGATGTGCTGGAAGGCTGGTGGCTGTACATGTGCTGGCTGGCCAGCTAGAACCACCATCAAATTCATACTGCTGAGAGGAAAAAAAAAAGGTTGCAGAGGTATAACTGGGAACTTTCCACTTAATGTGGAGGTCTTTTTCTGCCCTGAAGTTTCTGAGAACCCTTACAAGGGCTCACCCTTTCTTTCTTGGCCAATTTTAACCCAGTGTGTCTACAACTTAGAAGCAGCTGATGGCTTATCACAGGGACTGGATAAACCTCGCTTCTTTAGGAAATGGACTAAAAATCAGAAAAAGCAGAAATATGGCTTGCTTTTTTTTTTTTTTTAAATGCATACTTACCTCAGACAAACGGAAAGAAAAAATCAAAGGGTAACTTGGCATTAATGGTGGGCCAAGCTTTATAGCCTGGCTCCGCAGGTGAAGAAATATCAGTGAAAACAACAGAACTTGTTACAGCAATAGTCCTTTCCCTTCCTGAGGGAAGCTGCAATGAAAATACAAATAGTCATTAGCTTCAGTCTTCTCTTTGTACAACTGCTTTGTTTGGACTGGGTTATATTTTCAGCTGTTAGTTGTAAAAAGTTTGTGGGGTTTTTTTATATACAGTTCTGTGTTTCTTTTCATGAAATGATATACAGATTTTTATTGAAGTGTGTTTTGGCAAGAAGCCCACAGTTGTGTTTGAGTTGGAACAGCAACAGTTGGGTGTAATACACTCTAATGTGAAGTACTACCTTTAGACAAAGAGATTAACTGAGCCACTGTCACACAGCTGATACCTAAGCAAAAGCCGCCATTCTTTTTATCTTAAATACTGTAATTTAATTACATACCTGCTTCAATGTGGTGGTAGTGATCGTTGCTGTAACGTTCACTATTCTGGCTTGTGGATTGACTAGGGATCCATATTTAGTCCACTTCACTTCTATTTCCAGTGATACTGGTATTTGGCAGGAGCTCTGAAAAGCGGTATAAATTCTCTTATTGTCTGACTTGTACAGAAGCAACCCCATTAATTATTGATCTTATTAAACTGGCAGAATGCCCCCAGAAAGCTTGCTCCAGGAGGTTACCAGAGCAACTAGGCCATGCCTGTGCCCTGGACTGCTGCCTGTGCAAGCAGCACCGGTGCTTGGAGCCTTGGCTCAGGGGCATCCCTGCAGTTTCCCCGTAGGTGACAAACCGACTCTGTAACTGCACTTCAGCCAGGGCTGTTCTACCTGAGCAGGGCAGGGCTTTGGCTCTTAGCGATAGTGCCAAGCTGGCTCTTTTTAATAGGAAGACTTACTTCAGTAATACTGCTGGGACAGTAGGAAATCCTTAACTCTGCCAGGCCAGAATTTTGAAGCCTATAATCTTAAATATTTTTAGGTATTTCTTCTTAAACTGTCAAGTGTGGTTACAGAAATCATTCAGTGTTTAGTTGCAAAAGGATGCAAGAAACCTATATACAAGCTGTCGTTGAGGGGGTGCTGTCATTCAGCAGGTGCCAAGCAGCACTGCCTACGACCAGTAGCAGGGACTGTGCTGCATCAGGGGGAAAAGGGCTAGTACAGAAGATGTTAAGAATAAATGTAGTGTTTGGGTCACTTGAGTATACTATTTCTATGCTTTAAAGGATTCTTGCTACCTTACTCTAACCTGGTATAAGAGCACTAAGGAGAAACACTGATTTGCGACTTCACTCTTTCAACCTTTACCTCTTGTGCTTCAGCCCATCTGAAGAGCAAGACTCTAAACTGCGGCTGGAACTCGTTTCATACCTAACATCTTGTCCTGATCTGTAATTGAGGTGCCTGGATGTGGGATTCACAGGGAGTGTTGCGAGCGACCTTGAACAACATAGCCTTGAAGGAAATAGTCTGAGAAAGCAAGTAATGAAGCAAGCGCAGAAAGGGAGCTGAAGATAAAAATGTTTTGAAGCACAGCTGTGAGACCCAAACTAGAAGACGCGTGTCTTGATTAACAGCACCAATTCAAGGCTTAGCCGCGGCGCGTGGACAGCAGGGGTTAACCAATCCATGAACAAACTAGGGCGCATGGACAGCTAGGGAATCTATATAAGCACAAACTTGTAAACAATAAAGGTCTTTGGTTTTACCCGCGCCAGAGTCCGTGAATCAATCCCTACACCTGGATACCAGCTTGATTAAAAGTAAACCCTGTCTTCTACAGCAAGAGTCAAACTCCTCATTTGTGAATATTCCAGGAGGACTTTCCTCCCGTTTGTTTCTGATTTTTTTTTTTTCCCCCGTAGGTCTAAGAAGCCTAAGCTGACGCTGCAGTATAGGTACAGATCTCGGGAGAGAGGACAGTAAGAGTGAAGGGGGTGGTGGTCGTGGTGTAACTTTCACCTGTTCTGAGGTGTGGAGGTGAGTTATCGGCACCCAGTCGAGAACATCCTGGGTTTGAGAATTTCCAAATGAGGCCACGTATTCAGGAAAGCTTTGTCCCTTCAGTAAATCTAGGAGGGTCTGAGTCAAAGGCTGGCATTTCATAGCTGCTGTAATTCTTCCAGAAAAAAAAAAAAAAAAAAAAAAAAGCTGAGTTAAAGCAAAATCCATCAGTTTGGCACAGTAATAATTTCTCCTTGCTCTCATGCACTGTTCAAGCCTTCTGGCTACAGTTGCTAATGTACACAGTCTTTTCAAGAGAAAGATCTTTGTTAATTAAATGACATTTTTTATAATTAAATACTCCATTCTCAGTACTCCTGCAGCTGTATAAATGTCCCAGGACCTGAACGGATCCTAATGGAAAGGGTTGTCAGAGAGTTAAAAGCACTAAATAAAAAAAAAATCCTCTTACCGTAACTTACAGCCTGATATCATGTTATAACCAAATAATATTGGGGTTCTGGCTCCCTGTGCTGCCAGACAGTCCTGGTTGGATGTGCTTTGCAGAATGGTAAGTTGGCTGTATTTGTTAGTATTCTGAATGATGCCAGATGTAAGACACAGTTAAAGGGAAATTCAGTACTTGATGTATATCATGAAGAAAGAATCCTTAATCATATCCTTAAAATATACCTGAAAATGCTATAATAGCTCAAGACACCTCTTGCACTGTAAAGAAGCACTAGAGCATACAATGAAGGTCTAAATCTATCTCACAAAAGTCCCAGGAGATTGCAGTCAGGACTGAGTCACTTGCTACTTCTAAAACGTAGCCAAAAAAGCACAGTTTTACTTTTGGTAAAGAGCAGGTATATTTTATACATGTCCATGCTAGAAAGTGTTTGTGCAGATGAACCAGAACAAGGGCTGCAAACAAAATTTCGCCAGGGAAAGGATATCCTTGAGGCCGGAAGCCCGCTCTTATAGGCAGTCCAACAACATAACCAGGATTACCACTAAGAGGAACTGGCTTTGTATTTACCTGCAATGCAAACATGCAGTATTAGTTCTTATCCTGTACTGAAATGGCTGGAAAAGACAGAAATATTTCAGTTATTTTAGGATTATTAACTGCCTTGAACAATGATAGTAGTAAGACTGGTCTGGAAGATTGTAACAGTTCTCTAACACCGGGGCAGGCTTTGCTTTCACTGGATACAGTTATACAGAGTCACAAGATGAGTCTTCTAAATATGAAGAACAGTCTTTGGAGGCCGTTATTGCCCAGTTCTGAAATGCTGCCTCACTTGTGTATCCAGGGCAAGTTATATTTTTACCTTGCTGCTAACAATTGTTCTGATTCAAGTTTAATAAGTTTTGTAATTAAATGTCTTTCAACAAGTCATCCGTAACATCTCTAGCAGTTACCTGAGTAAAGCTGATTTCAAAGCTCTGCTGTATTGAAAGTGCTTCTTTGTTAATTGCCCCCAAGACAAAAGAAGCAGCTGCTTCTATTATTTCTCCTGTGTCTGTGTATGTAATGTGATAACTCACCTGAAAATGAACATTTTAGATAGCAATTAGAGCAAATACATAAGAGTCTGAAACTAGAAAAAAGGAATTTAAAGCTATGTAAGT